GTTGATAGGACTTTTCTCAAAAATGTTCTACAAAATAGCTAAAAGAACACTTTATTTTAAAAACGTTCTAAAAAAATTATTAAAACGACTAAAAACATCCTATAAGTTTATTTTTAACACTTTTAGATAAGACGTTTTATAGTTTGGTTATATAAACCTAATATTCATAAAGTATTCTATTAGGACGCTTAGACAATCTAGGTGTTATATAAAACCAATTTTCTCGTAATGATATTTTGACCTGAATTATATTTTGTATAACGTACTTTCAAAACTATCATTTTGCTAACTTAAATATGATATTTCAAAGACTCAAACATTTACCCCAAAACACGCTACAGAATATCAGGATTTGACCAAAATATTTTACTTTTTTATAAATAAAAAAAATTAGAGGTAAATTAGATATTTCAATGCTAGAGATGTCACGTTTAAGATACGAACATGAAGGTTACGAAAATACGTTACATAAAATATGAATCATACCATAGTTCGTCACAAACAGAAACTATGATCGAGCAAAAACGAAGTTTTGGATCAAAAGTTTTCTAAAGGAAAAAAAAGAGAGCGTTATTTTGGATTACTGTATATTATAGAATCAAAGAGTACGATGAGATGATTCACGGATTTTCCAATATCAAAAGGTTACAAACGAAATACGAAAATGATATAAACAAAAAGAGCGTTATTTTGGATTTATATTCAATATATTGGGTTACTTTGATGATGGCCGAAATTTAAATACAAAATAAATTAAACTTCAACAATTGCATTACCTTCTTCATATGTACGAGACCCTTGTCATCATAGAATCAATCACAGTGACACGACGTACTTTGGCTTCTTCTTGACAACCGTAAAAGTTACTCCAAGTAAAAGAATGTCGATATCATATCTACATGATCATATGGAAAAAAAATATACATTAAAGTCTACAAATAATACAAAATGTAATTATAATCTCAAAGACTAATTTCATTTCTTGGTTTGACAAGAAATAAAGAAGATGTGAAAGGTATGCTGCCAAAAGACACATAAGACAGCAACCAACTTGATGTTGCAACCTTGCCAACATTCCTGTTTCTACTCATCTTTGTATCACACGGTTTCTCAAACAATTGTGTTTAATATGACTGCGTTTTATGTTATAAGAAACATATTACGACAACTGTGTTTAATATAACATGGAAAACTTTATGAATACATGTCAAAAACAGAGTGATTCTCATCTTTGAGTCACTTAATGCTAGATTTATGTTGTTAGGCAGAAAACTTACGAGAGCTGCCTGGAAAGAAGCAACCTCGAGTGGGCCATGCCCAAGACTCGGTCTTCGTGGGTCCATCCTTTCTAGAAAGGTAGTTAAATACTAGACTGATTTTTTTCAACCGTACAAAAAGGTTGGATACCACTTCTCCCACCCCAACTCAAAAAGTCCAAGAGCCAAGTTGTGAGGGTGACAATTATATCATTTTGCACTATATCATGCTAGCCTCTTAATCATTCTGCACCACTTAATTATTCTGCACCAAACCATTCAGCAATTGTCAAACTGCCCTTAAGAGACTGTTTGGCAGTTACTGAATGATTTAGTGCAGAATGATTAAGAGGCTTTCATGATATAGTTCAAAATGAAATATAATTGTTTGGTAACTATTTACAATGAAATTAGGGCGCTGAATGGTTAAGGGAGGCCTAGGATACAAAATCATTCAGAGGATTTTGGAATCATTAAGAGGCAGACTCTTTTTGTGCCAAACAAGATTCATCTCTTAACGATTCAGAATTTGTCTCTTAATAGAACTATTAAGAGGTAAGTAAACAATCCCTTTGAAACCTAAATTTGGACAAAAATTCTTCAAATTTTATCTGTTTCTATCGTGTTCTTTTCTTTGAACTCTTTATTTTTACGATTTCGTATCCATTTCTTAGTAACAACGTATTCACGTCTTATATATTTTTATACGATACAAATATAACCCATAAAATATTCTAATATTCTTTCGTTGAAAAATGCATAGAGTATGAGGTTGGTTTATTATTGAGTTGACATTGGATAGAAATACAAAGAAAGTAGGTATTATTGGTCTTGACTACATCCAAATCCCATTGGTTGAGACATTCCTATTGCTATCTCTACCCTACTCATCACTACATTTTTTTCTTCTTACATTGTATTATAAAAATCAAGTTAAAAGAAAAAAAAAATATTATATCTGATAATATTTTAAACAGAAGATATTTCGTAGGTTCATTTTATAGATACTTTTAACAGTTGACTGTTCGACTAAAATCAAGAGTTACAGAGGGATCTATTATCCACCATTTTTGTGAGGAGGAATTGTCTTTTAGTCATGCTTAACTCAAACAGTGCAACAAATATAGAGAATAATTGAGGGGATTATGAATATATATATATATATATCTATATATATATATATATACACACACACACACACGCACGACATGTGAAGAGCGTTAAGAGAATAAGCCCTTCCAATATACATACAAAGTGGGCGTGTCAATGAAGCATGTCTTGTGTTTTGCAACTCACTCGATCCACTGAAAGTCATACTACAGTTAACGCCAACTTATTATTCATGTATAATCAAGTTGTCGGGTTTTTTTTTTTTCCGATCGATTGCTGAAAACACAAAAAGAATCAATTTATTTATATGATACCACTTGTCTGTAAGAGATCTATATTACCATTTTATCATACTGAAAAAATAATCATCATTTAAGGCTGAATTTTCCACTATCTCCATAAAAGCATGTACTTTGCTAGTTTAGATTCACATTCTATTTTGACTTGTATTCATGTTCTCTTTTCATCTATACAAATCAATGTTTTAGATAAGAAAGGAAGAAATACAATTAGAATAACAATATATATATAAAAGAACGTTTGAATTTTAAAATTAGTTTACGATTCCAGTAATAAAAATCAAGATTATGTCTGAATAAAAAAAAATGATTAAAATGAGTTACTTATTACGTGTCATTTAAGGACGAGCAAATGATAATCAATCCTTTTGGATTTTGCGTTTTAATTTGAATTCATTCTGGTATAAGAATATCATGTGATTAAGGGGTTGTTCGGTTGTGACTTAATGGGCCGTATAGCCCAATTAGCTTATTTGCTCAGTTATAAGCAGTTGTTCGGTTATAGCTTAATCTGGAAATCAAGAGCTTATTTGAACAGCTTGAGGAGGGCACTTGTCTACGTTCAGCCAAACTTTTTACTTAAATACCCTTCTTTTAATAAACAATCTCATCCTTAATAATAGAAAGGCATCCACCACCTCCACCTCCATCTCCATCTCCATCTCCATCCTTTGAAGCTCTACTTAAAACAACACCTCCCATGGAAATGAAGTAGTTTGGAATTAGGTTCAAAAATATTGACCGAGGGGTCAAATGGACATTTTAGATATTCGGATTATTTATTCAGTCTAATAACCAAACAACAACTTATGTTATATCATATAGACAACTTTATTCATATAGGTCTAAATGAAAAATAAACCGCACAGCCCCTAACTTACCATTTTGGTCCATATGCAAACATTTTAGATTTAGACTTCTATAATTGTAAAAAAAAAAGTTTAGGGTATGTTTTAAAATTACAACAAATGCAAGGGTTAAATATAAAATAAATAGGTTAATCACATCCTCAAATACCTACGGTCAGAGTTGGATATCGATCCTCAGTGCTGCTGTCTCTGGATTCAATGGAACTGTCGGTGGTGAAATTTAAGCCTATTGAAGCAACACCAGAGACCTTCAAAGAGTTCGGACAAGTGATTCATGCGTCGCCGGACGGCGAGAGTTTCGGTCCTCACGATGCTCAACTAGATCTCACCCAAGGCACTCCCAGGTGTGCATCTCATCTCTTTCTCTCTCTCGGAACTCTAGGGTTTATTTCTGTTTTGGACTTTGAAAGGTGTTCGTAATCTTCCATGTCGATAACATGAATTCGTTTCCTTCTTCCGATTGTTTATTGATTTTTGAAATAGGAAAGAGATTTTGTGGAGTGTATGGTTTATTAATTGTTAGTATAGTTTTTTGTATGATTTATCGTTGATATGAACTCGTTTGATTGTTGAACTGAAAATTTCAGAATTATAGCTATTAACTAACTATACACATCACAAACATGAGCATCGTGGATCTTACAAATAGCATTTTTTTTTATTAACCTGGATATTATCCCGCTGACTAATCTAGGGCTACCACCTGCTTTGTGGATAGATCGGAGTCACCGTATTTGAACCTTTGTGACCACATGAGGGTTTTTATTCCTCCCTAGATTGAATATGGGAGTTCCAGGCACTTTTAATCTTTGAAGCTCAAGCTCAAACCAATCGGGCACCACCTTTGGTTTATAAATGCATTAGTAGTTGCATCATACAAACATTCTATTGCATTTTATGATGTTCTTGAAGCTGAAAATGTGTTACAATTGGCATCTGTTATCTGTATGGAATTATTTTCTTGTTCATTTAAAACTTTCTGTCAAGCTTCTGAGGATCCACCTATGAATTTAAGGCATTTCTCAAACATGAACACAAGTGTTTCAAATGGTGAAATGGAAGGGATTATATTAGCGAGAAAACTGATTGAGAAGATGGAAACATGCTTTCTTTTATACAATTTTGGTGCCAATCTTGAGTTATAATGAATTTGGAAAGCTATGAACTCCGAACAGCAGTAACTTAAATGAACAAATCCCAAGTTACATTTGCGCACATTAACCTTCCACTTCCTACAAAATTAATGTTGCTTTTATGTATGCTATTAGGTTGTATATCATGCATCTTGAGGGTCGGGATCTCGGGTTCTCCAGCATAACACATCATGCTAATGTGACCCAATGCCTTGGTTCGGTTGGTGGCAATGCTTGGTACCTTGGAGTTGCAAAGCCATCGATAGTGGATCCAGATGTGGAAGACAAGGGTGCAAACATTTTGCAATCACACAGTGGTCACTTTTTTGTGCCTCCTGCTGTTGACAGCATTCATGTCTTCAAAATTACCGGTCCAAAGTTTCTGAAGCTGAACCGGGGGACTTGGCATGCTGGGCCATTGTTTAAGCCAGACACCACAATGGATTTCTACAATCTTGAACTAAGCAATACCAATGTAAGTATATCTGCTCGACACTTGACGAACATTTTGTTTCCATTTTGTGGGTTTCATCTAATAAATAAATGTGGATCTGATCCTGGATGTAGCACTATTGGTTTTTGTGTGGTGTACTTATTACTTACACAGTTTGTGTTATGGATCTTCCTTTTGATTGTATTTCATATGTTGGTGCAGGCGGTGGATCATACATCCCACGATTTCGAGAAGGAAAATGCAACGGTGTTTGTGGTAGATGATTAGTTGTGCCATAACCGATTGCCAATCTCACGTCTCTGGAGTATGTTGATTTTAGTAATAACACATTTGAAGGTTCATTCTCATTCAACTCATTCTCTAATCATACAAAGCGTGAGGTACTTAAATTCGTAAGCAACAATAACATATTTGAGGTGGAAACAGAAGAGTCTATAGGTTGATTCTGATGTTCCAATTGAAAAGTCTTGTATATATTTAGAAAGAAACTTATGTATATCACCCAGAATAGCAGCATTCATGTGATTTTTTAGACATGTCCAACCACACCATGTTAGCATTCATAATTCCACAGCAGCATACGAATAATACCGTTACATGAGTTGTTTCTTAGGTTGAAAGTTCTGAGCATCCTATTATTTTCAATCAACCAATTTAGAAACTGTCCCACCAAGGAGTTGCTGGATAGGTTTATTACCTGTGACTTGTAACTTATGCTGATGAAGTAGAATCCTACGAACAACAGGTCTTTTCATATTGCACCTAGATAGCAAGAATTTTCAACTGGAACATCGGAATCCAACCTATAGGCTCTTCTGTTTCCATCTGAAATATGTTATTATTGCTTACGAATTTAACAAACCTCATGCTTTGTATGATTGGAGAATAAGCTGAATGAGAATGAACCTTCAAATGTGTTATTACTAAAATCAACGTACTCAAGAGATGTGAGATAGGCAATCGATGGTTTACATATGGGGAACTATTCATCTTGAAGCTGCTTGTAGTTTGTAGTCTTCAAAAGGTTTCTGCTCACTTTTGCAATGTGCATGAGAACCTTTTTGTTTGCACCATTTCGTTTTGTCATTCCATTCTCCATTGTAAGACTTATTTTCATTTTCTTTTCCAATGTTACATCTGTATTTCTTCTCGGCTTTACGAAAATAAATGTTATATTATTTTCTTTTGATAACCATGGTATATATCCGTCCTGTCCTCACTTGGAGGGAATCGTTTTTCATCATCATTTAGCTATTGCATTATCTTCTCCGTTGTTGGACACATCTATAGAAACTGGGGATGCATCAATGTGCAACTAGGGACCAGTTAGGACCTATTAGAAGAGGTCTGGGACCGGTTTCCAAAGTCCAACCGGTTACCATTGGTTACAATTTTTGAAGCTGGGCCGGTCAAGTGACCGGTTACAGGGCCTAGTCCAAGGACTAGTTATCAAGGTGTCATTACTTTTTTTTATTTTGTCTTGTTCACTAAAGTCATGACAACTTGCTGTACCATTTTGATATTTTGCTAGGGTATTACTAGGTATTTGAGTTGATGGTTTATCCACTCTAATTAAACACTATGCAATTGTACATGTTCTCAACTTCTTTTTTCGTGTTTTAGTGATTGCAAATGGTAAATTTTAATAGACAAATGTTATAAATAAATAAAAAGTTAATAAATGTTAAATTTATTTAAAATATTAAAAATTGAAAGAACTAAAACTTTGGCATGTTCAAAGGGTCGTTTACTAAACACTTACTAGGTATACGCTTACTGATATTACTTACCTTACCGGTTAATTATGGAAAGAACCGAGAATTTTATCCAGTAAGAAGTATAGCAAGGACCGAAAGGCTTACCTGATAAATGTGGGAAAAGACTTTTATTCGGTAAGCACTTACCAAGTTTAAGATGCTTACCAACAATCTATTTTGATGGTCAGAAATACACGATAAGGTAAGTGAGAATGATGTCTCTGGTAAGCATTCTGTAAACAACCCCTACGACTGGTTGTGGAAGGGTCAGAAAAACCTAAGCCTGGTCAGAACTGGTTAAAACGCCTGATCATGCCTAATTTTGCCGACATCTAGTTATGAAATAAGTACATATCAGTTTCAAGAATAATGGAGTGGGACGTCAGTTATTTTAAGGACCGTGAATGAAAATGAAAAATATGTCTGGTTAATAAAAATGATGGAATTCTTTCAATTCCAATAAATTCCTTCACTCACGGATTTTATATTCCACGGCAATACCCTCGGATTTCAATTCCTTTCCGACAAATTCCTTCCCTAATCCAAATTCATTTCAATTCCATGCAACCAAACGCAATCACAAAGCATGGTCAAATTCCATTCCTTTAAAGTCAAATTCATTTGATGAATTCCAATTCCATCGAATTCCATTCTACGAACCAAACGCCCCCTGAGGGTCATGAAACTATTCCAGCATTTCCATTCTCATTCCCTGAAATTAACCTCAATTTCTTCCAGAAAACGGCATTACAGTAAACAAAAAACATAACAAAACACACGAATCTTTGGCTTCTATCCATCCACGATTTGATCTGGGAGAAAAGGAGAAAAACTTACGATTCAACTGTGTCCTCTACTCGAGATACGACTTCTGTTGATTCCGAATCTCCAGTAAAAACTCCATCTGAACCTCTCTCTATTCTAACATCATCTACTTTCCCCTTACCTAAACTTTCACCCTCATTTCGGGATTGGATCGATTTTGCAAGACTAACATACTTCACCACCAGTTGCTTATAGCTATTTAGCAACTCTTCTACATCACCTACCGTCAGATCACCCGTTCGCGAGTATAAGTACGGGAATTTCCGAAATTCTTCGATCCCTCTTTCCTCTTTCATTAGTGTACTTGCCCCTTTATTCTCCAAATCTGAAATTGATGGGATTTTGTTCACTTGCTGTTGGTCTTTTGAGTTTGCACCATCAGTTGTTGATTCAACTGCAACGCTACTGTTTTCATGGCTTTTGACCTGTCTGGGTTCTGATACGCTTTCACCGCCATCGTAATCACCCGATAAACCGTAAATAAGTGTCTGAGCGGATTCCATATTCTTCTGAAACTCCATTTCATCCATCGACAACGCTTTCCCATCTATGTTCATAATGAAGGCTTCTGCTGAGAGCATGTTTGTGAAGAAATAGGCTGCTTCTCCAACTAGTCTGGATTCACGTCTGTATCGTTGAATGTACAACAAATTTGAATGCAATTGAGGAGGGTTTGCTTTTATGGTAACGTAGATAAGGACCGGAAGGAACTCATCGGCCCCAGGAGGGTTTTCGTTTGCAGCAACCGAAGCATTAAGCAGCAAGTTGTTGATGACTTTACAGCAACTGAGGATGCATACGAGTTTGTCTCTTGGTGCTTTGTAGATATTGATTTTTTGCAACTCCTTCTGAGCAAGCAACCATGATGTTTCGTTTTGATATGTTGGTTGAATGTCCAAGTTCTCAGGCCGGATAAATTGCTGGACTAAGGCCAGCTTCTCGTAGAGTTGGTCATCTACCTTCACGTCATCCGGGTGTGTGGCAAAAACACGGGTAAATAACTTCGTCATTATGTATTTCTCCAGCCCTTCACCGGCGCTATCTAACTCCTCTTCTGACCGACCTGCCCAAAGAGGATGAGCACGAAAAGCGGCTTCCATATTGGCAAGGAACTCTTGCACCGATGCACTGTCCTTTTCAGGATCAGGTGGATTATTGGAGAAGGATACGATGAAACTTTTGATAGCTTTAACAAATTCTGAGGCAGATGGATGTCGCATACGCTCCAAGAAGTCATGCCATGTCAGAGGTGCTGTAGAGGAACTAAATGGTTCGGCATTCTCCATAATACTGATCAGATCAGATTCGATATATGACCTAAAACCTTAGAAGGATCTTAACCCTTGAACCTAGCTTGAGGATTATCACCCTGTTGAATGACGAAACTTCATCCTGCACCAAAACATGATTAACTAATCATAAATAGATTTCAAGTAGTGTGAGACTTTTATCTGATGAAATTTGGATGGAAAGTATATACCTTGTTGTACATTGTGGAAATTTAAACCTTATCAGTGTTCATGTTGAATTAGAACTTTATTAGTATAAATATTCAAACTAACTACTAAGTTACTACGATTTAACAAGACAACTAATCAAAATAGCCAACTCCAACCAAAAAGGAAAGAAGATGATGACCCATAGATAGGCAGCAATCCAAGAACGTAGAAAAAATTAGGCCCGGGGTGAATTGTTGTATTCCAGAGATCACCAAGGCTGTAGATAATAAAAAATAAGAAAGCATGCGAGAATGGGGATGAGGAATGATGCCTGTGTCTTCTAATGATTTGATCAATGAAGAAGAAAGACTATGATACTTCTTAAACTTTAGCTAGAATTTTGAAGTTCTTGCATTTTAACCTCAATTTATTGGGAAAAAAGACATTATTTTAGGAGAGTTGAAGGATGATGTAACACATCGCGTAAAGACATGGTTGAAGTGAAGGGCTGCTATGGACGTGTGTTGCGACAAGGTCCTGCTAAGACAGAAAGGCAAATTCTTCTGCGAGTCAGAGTGTTGGGCAACAGTGAAGGCCCATGAGAGGAAGTTAGAAGTAGCACAAATGAGGATACTCAGATGGCCCTGTGGTTGAACCATGTTGGACTAGATTCCGATTTTGGGAAGCATTGGGAGTTGCATCTATCACCAATAATTGGAGAAGGGAGATTACAATGGTTTGGACATGTTTGCAGGAGACAGAAGTTGGAACCAGTGAGAAGGATAGGAAACATGACCGTCGAAGAGGTGAGGAGTGAGGAAGGGCAGGTCGAGGAGGACGTTAGATGAACAGATGAGCTAGTGCACTGCAGCCTTAGATATTTTCGAGAACATGACCTCTAATAGGAGTTCTGGGAGACGCGGGATTAGGGTAGCAAACTATGTGTAGGGGCTTGTGCTTAACGTGACTAGGATGGGCGCTTGTAAGGATCTCTGAGGTATGGTGAGACAAGGGTAGGGTTGAAGAGGCGATATTTTGGTTTTCAGAGGATTAAGATAGAGGGATGTTAACTTGTCACATAGTTCTTATATGTTCCTATGCTTTCTGTACTTACTTTTGTAACCCTTTAACTGTTCTACTGTTTAACGTTATCTAATTTTGGTTCTTTTTTCAAATTTCTTCGTAATTTACCTTATGGTACTTTTTATTTTCTTCCAATTGTTTTTGACAAACTTCTTGAAACACTCGGTGCTCCACCAAAATCCTTTTCTAAACTTTTTTCCGCAAGCCAGGAGACTTAACGGAAACAACCGCTCTACTCTTTTGGGTCAGACCTGCATGCATCTTACCCTCCTAGGTCCTACTCCAAGTGGGACATACTGGGGTGTGTTTTGTTGTTTTACGTTCTTTCTTTCTTTTAAGCACACGATAGGTTTGATCCTTACCCACGGTACTCTCAGAAATCTTAACAGTTCATAAAATACCACTATACTTCTTTGATACCTTTTCTCCAAAATTGCAAAGTACATTATGAGGATTCTCGCCATCATAGTTCAGTAGAATGAGGTACTGTAGCAGATGTCTTCCTGCAGAAAGTCAAATGCCTTGGCTAACAATCTCTCCAAATAAACAGTGTAAAACATATCCATGAGACATACTCATGTTAGGATATCAACCCTGCCAAGTTAACTTAAGCTGTTCAGCACAATCCCAGAGGATGGGTCCTTGAGGAACCATCAATCCATGTCTCTTACCGAAAGTAAAGGGAGACAGAAGGAATAGACTCTAGCCATGCTCTACATTGCAATTCCTTGTATTACCAATCAGCATGCTCATGACCTATCTCTTCTTCCACCGACTATATCGTCTAAAAATCCTTGACTCACGTCAAAATCATCAGCTGAGAAAGACAACCACCCTACCATGATATAATAATTGATAATACAACCCTAAGTTGCACCTGTGGAATGTGTACTTGATGATCCATTCCTAAACAGACATAGTAATTAATTATTTATCTCTGAAGGCCTCAACTGAAACAGCAACCTCCTAAAATATAAATGTTGAATAAGAAATTGTTCTTCAGTTACAATTTTATTTTCATATTAAATGGTCAACAGACAACAACGGATGAAACTTTTTTTGGACAAGAAGTGTTACTTCTTTAGACCATATGATCAATCAAATTATCTGCACTATCATCTCCATGGTGGCTGTCTATGGTTAGTTATTATTCCACCTAAATCCATTTATGGCTTTAACGGAAGCAAAGGTAACAGGAAGGAAACAAATGTGTTGGTACTTCACTGATCCTATTAGACCATCTGAAACATTTGAAGCAAGGATATAGAATTATCTGAGCTCAATATGGCGACAGGTGGAATAGTATATGAGGCCATTAGAGAAGGAAAGATCAATCAAGCAGTACATTTAGATTCTATTTTTAAGCTTCCATTTATTTTCCACTGCCATCCCGTACGGCGTACTATATCCAAAAATCAACTAATGTTGCAGCCCATGATGCTACTTAGGACCCTCTCAAATAGTCAAATAGATAATGAGATCAAAGCAACTGGAAAGATTTAAGAATCGTCTACATCTAGAGGGATCATCTAGAAAGTGAGTTGTCTTGAATTGAATATACTCAAACTAAAAGTGACAAAGATAATAAGGTTTATTTCTTATGTAAGCTGGTTCTTATCCAAATCTAGCTGTTTATCCGTTTCTCCAAAGGAGCCAAATAAAACCATAATTCATGTTCGGTTCTGAATTAGAGACACTAGAGTGATGAATCAACATTGATCCTATCCAAACTCACGACACATGTTCGATCCCCACTGCCTGCTCTATATCCTCTCTTATGTATTTAGATTTTTATCTTCTTTACTATTATGATACATTCTTCAATACAGTAATAGATGAGTTAATACTTAATACATCATTCATCTAAGGATGCATACACACATACACAAAATATTTACCTCATAAAGACAATCTTAGCTTAACATCCTAGTTTTACTGGTGTCTATTGAGAAAGAAAAGATGATCTTGACCACTTACTGTGTTACTGGGAGGTTAGTTAAACTAATAAACCTGTGCCAGAACAAGTACGACTAGACATAAGTTGATATAGCATTATTATCATTTGTATAACCAGCTGTCTCAAGTTATTTGGCTTACATAGGCAAATATGCACATGATATGTATAGCCTAGAAGATGCATAAAAGGGATGCTTGAAATATGCCATTATACCACACAACTAATCATTTTATATTGTAAATTAATATCATAATACTGCAAAGCAATGATTAGAGAAGCTAAAACATGTAGTCACGTACATAGCAAACTGTCTTGAGATCCTAGAGCCACATCAGGGGCGGATTCAAGATTTGGATCCAGGGTGGTCCTCTTATTGTTATTATTTAAATTAGTCAACTACAAGTATACAGCCCTGCTTCACCCTACAAAACCAACACAATCGATAACACTAAAAAAGGTGACATTAAAGGCCTATTACATGAAGGATTGAGCACGAGATACAATAGGATACACAAACAACTGACTCGAACTAATCACATATATACCAATTGACTCAAAACCAGAAAAGAGTAACTATTTAATTCCATTAGATATATGCTTATAAAGTAAATTAACAACACAACAAAACATGGAATCTTAAATGAATCCAAGTCTTGCTCATGATTTCTATGTTATGCATTTTGATCTTTTTGTTTAATATATTAATCCTCATTGATTTTTTCGCAGTTACTAAAAGCCCCTGCGATGGAGATTTTTTTCAATGGAATTGGATTACCCACAGAAAGAGCATACATTAAGTTTACTCCAAGTGCTGAGTGAATGAGTGCTATACCCCTTTCCAAATTGATACCTACACTTAGGGTATAAGTGAGCAAAGTTGTTTGAAAATTGGTGTTTTTTGTTGTTGGGAATGAAATAGTTCACTTTGAGTGTAGCTTTCACGTGTGATAGTATGCAAAAGGTTCGAGAGGGAAAACCTGATTAATCCTTTAGGCATTTTACCATATATAAGAGAGTATGATCATGCTCTTACAGCAAAAACCACAATAATCCCAACTCGGTCAAGGATGAACAAGTATTAGGTAGAGAAGTGACAACTAACAAGCATTTATGGAGATGAAGAGTTCAAATATTAGGCAGAGAAGTAACAAGCATAAACAAGGTTGTAGAGGACTTCAACAATAACTTATCCTTAAGCAAAGATCAGTTTGGCCAAATGCCGAAATCTCAATTGATAACAATGAAGTTTAAGGTTCTTTTTATCTTGAATCTCAAACCTCAATCAGTAGTTTAAAGTTTCAACTAACTACGTTAAAAGCAATATAGCACAACTATAAATATAATACCATCTAGATAGAAACTGGCATTTAGCAAGAATGGAAGAAACAATTGAATTACCAACTGACTGGCCAAATCTCAGCAGCGACAGCAGAACAGGCCTAGCCAGGGGGTGGTTTACATGTAATCAGCCACGGACTGGGGTGTTGGATCAGTGTTGGCTCGTCGAGAGGACGGTGCCTGGTACAAAATTCAGTATTCATGTAGTTAATATTTAACGATGACAATAATACTTGAGGAAGCCTTGAGTACTTCAAAATACAAAAAACGTGCCACACCATCACTTGTGAGGCCAAATGAAATAATTTCAAATTCAAAATTAATATGATTTCTAGAATCTTCAAGAAATATCTAATACCTAGATTAAACCTTATGGCACACCATAATTTCCCCACCAGAAAAATAGTTAGACCTCAATATCCTTATGAGTCCATACCAAAACATTAACAAAGTTCAGATCAAATACTGTAATTTTTCCTACACTTCCTCCGCAAATAACAATCTCAAGTGAATATCAATATTCAATTAACAGTTAGCATCTATATTACACCATAATTGCACATAAAACGGATTACAGTAAGCGAATGAGCAAATTCTGAAGCTCGAACAACAGTGTAGTATCATACAATATGCACATATATTGTAGAACAAAATTGGATCAAAACAACGATGATCATGATGGTCAATACCTGGGGATGATGAGCGAGTGAGGACGTGAGCCGGACGTAGATTCCAGTTTCAAACCCTAACAATCGGTTAGAAGGAAGAAGGGGAAGACCAAACCCAACTAGGATCCAAAGACTCACACTCGCAGATGTTGACCAACGTATATTTCGGGACACCCCTCTTCCAAAATTACGTGAGGAGGGGTTTTTTTAATGTTATCTTTAAAAAATAATATAAACAATTATTCACGAGACACTGTTTGGTAATTGCTGAATGGTTTAGTGTAAAATGATTTATTTTAGTAGTCAAAATGATTAAAAGACTCTTATGATATAATGCAAAATGAAATATAATTGTTTGGTAATTGTGTACAATGAAATTAGGGCTCTTAATAGTTAAAGGAGATTCATGATACAAAATCATTCAGAGAATTTTAGAACCATTAAAAGACAAACTTTTTTTTTTACCAAACAAGATTCACCTTTTAATAACTCAGAGATTGCCTCTTAATGAAACTATTAAGAGGTAAACAAACAACCAATAACAATAATAACATATTTAACTGTAAACTACAAATTTGGTTCCTTTAGTTTGTAACATTTTTTGTTCATATAGTTTTAAAATTACAAAATGTTATTATAGTTTATGATTATTAAAGAAATTTAGTTAAATAAGAGAAAATTTCGTCTTCTTATCAACTTTTTATTTATTTACCCAATCAAAATTTACAGGGACCAAAATTATATAATCGATTTTGATTGGAAAAGACAAAAAAATCGATAAAAGAACAAAAATTCTTCTCATTTAACATAGTGTTTTAACGGTTAGAGGGAATGATCAAATCCTGAAATTTCTGCAAACTAAATTAGCCAATCTTGTAATATTAATTAAATACTATGTTTATGATTATTATTTGATTCCTATATTCAGTCTTCTGTTTTAATTTATGGTCATGGTCTTTATGCTTGATTTTTCTTAGATGGGTACGGTTATGCACTGGTATGATAGGGTTGAAAGCTCTGTTGGAAGTCGTTTTCAGCTATAATTGAAGGTTCATCTGAGTCTTCAGTTCTTTGATCGCAATTTGTTTTTTGGTGTCATTTTATTTTGTTGTTTTTAGTTTTTTTGTTATGGTTGTGTTGCAGTTTTTTTACCTTTTGGTCTTGGTTCCTGGATCTTACAGAGCCGGTCTCTTCTTATTCTTGTTCAAGTTGTTCAATAAAAAACCTTGTTTTTATCAAAAAAGGGTAGTGCTTGATAACCGGTGTACATTGTTTTTGGTTTTCTTTTGTTTTTGGTTTTGTTTTGTTTTTGAAAGAAACAAAGTTCACCAAATTCCAAATATTTAATGATAATATATCATTCTTCAGACTTCTTAAGATAAAGTTCTTATAAATTATAATCATTCAATTTCAAACACCGTGTTTTGTACCAAAAGACTTTAATTAAAGATATGTTATCCTTGATGTCACGTAATATAATGTTGTGTTTTAACTTTTAATCATTGGAACTTGACAAGTTGTTATATGAATAAGTGAACTTCCTTTTCACATTTATCAATATATTATTTTTCATTTTTCAATATATATATATATATATATATATATATATAGGTGAAGGATCGTGTGGAAGAAAGTTATTGTGAGAAGCGTAAGAAGATATATGAATTTTTGATCATTTTTAATTACATTCTCACTCATGAATTATGCGTTGGAAGGAAATTGATCAGATGCATCTCGGTGCACCTCATTAGTATTGACATTCAATTATGATTGATCCAAAGGTGGAGATATCTTCTTATACTTCTCACCATAGCTTTTCTTCTCACATGAACTCAACGGTGATGGTAAAGTTATGGTGAGAAAGGTAAGAAAGGATTCTCACACTTGGATCAATTGAAGATCAATATTAATGTGAAGCACCGAAATGCACCAAATTTCATGATAAGCGTAATTCATATGATGAAGGTGAGAGTGGAGGACTTGATGTATAAGGAGTGGGGGGATGGGCGAGTTTAAAAAAATTATAAGGGTTAAAAAATAGTTTCTTTTTACCTTGGTCCCTTGGTAGATTTTTGGAAGTGCCCCTACGTGACAATAAAAAAGGTCTCCCGAAATCGACAAATAAACTTAAAAGTGCTTCGAACTCAATTAGAAAAACTTTAAAAATCCATTGAAATAATGGAATTACGTTGAAAACACATAGTGATTTTGTAGGTCGTTAATCTACCTTAATGGTGACCCATTAGTAGGGGTGCTCAAAAACTCAGTCAACCCGATCGACCTAACTCAACCCAACGCGAAATAACTCAACATGAAGCAACCAGATGTCTAATCGAGTTGTAAAATCTTCAAATCTTAGGTATTTGGTTACTTTTATTTGAACCGAACCCTAATCCAATGAACCCGGTATCATTTTATTTCTTGAATTTAATATTGATTGTTAAGTCTTTATTAATATGTATATTAGACAATTACACTTTCACGTACCTTCTTTAAATACATATATTTTCAATTTATTCTCCATTCTTATATAACTCCTTTATATATGTTCAATAACTATGAACATATATATAGGCGAAAGATTGTGTAAGAAGTGAAATCATGGTGAGAAGCGTAAGAAAAGATCTGAACCATGGATCATTTTTAATCTCATGATCACCATGAATTGTGTTGTAGAAGAGAATTGATCTGATGTATCTCGATGCACCTCATTAATGTTGACATTCAATTATGATTGATCCAGTGGTGGAGATCTCTCCTTATGTTTTTCACCATAATTTCGTTCTTACAGGAACCCAATCATGTTCATATTATATATACATACACACACACACACACACTCACTCACACACACAAATTGAGAAAATTATATATTTATGATTTAAGAAGTATGGATAAATTATACCAATTGGTTGATAATGAAAAAGAAATTATAAGTAGACTAGAGAAAACAATATATTCAAAATCATGAAAATATTTTAATGTATCAAAGTACTAATCCGACCAACCCGAACGGTTTGAGTTAGATTGGGCTGAGATTTTTCAAAATGCAAACATTGTGTTAGGTTGTTCAAAAACCTTCAGCCTGATCAACTTAACCCATGAACACCCATATCCACTAAAAAAAAATCCTAAATTTGTCACTGAAGATGAGATTGGTAACAATAGTTACTTAAATAAATATAATTAAATTACTTTTATACCCTTATTTATTTATTAAGAATAATTGGAAAAAAATTACTATATTACCTACTTATCAATAATTTTAATGACATTATTTGATTTTTTTAATTATTAAAGTTATAACAAATGTTAGTTTAATTTAATAATTTTGATTTATTGATTTAAAAATGATCAAGGGTCCAAATTTCTTCTTACTTTTCTTTTTTTATCTCTTATTTTCACAAGATCTTTTATGTGTATATTGTATATATACACATATGTTATTTTTTATACAAGTCAGTCATAAACCACTTTTCTCATGTGAATATGGCTTTAAAAAGATCGTTTTTTGAAGACCAGCTTGACTGAAATTTTACGGATCCGTTTACAAGAGTACTCGATAGAGATAAACAGAAAATTAATGCAATTTTTTATTTTGAAAAGAAAATCTTAAATTTATATTTAAAAATAATTTATTATAGCACGTATCATATTGTTTTGATTGCTTTGATTATTTTGAACACATGTATTGAAAAGATAAAACTCTCTATGTAAAAATGTAATATCTCGCATTGGCCGAAAGCTGAACAAAAGTTGCCTATAAGACCTTCTCTATCAGACCCGTTTTAAAACCGTAAATCTAGGTATGTAGACAATCATACAGTTTGCCTTGAATGTTACACATGGTATAAGAACCGGTAACTGGACTGGTATGCGAGCGAGGATGTTAGCCTCCCAAAAGGGTAGATTGTAAGATATCACATTGATTGGAAAGGGAAAAAATTGCCTTACAAGGAACTGGACACCTCATTTATCAAACATGTTTTAAAACCGTAAATCTAAATACACGAATAAAGCGGACAATATATAGCTAATACAGTTTGCATGTGATGTGATGTTACAAAAAATTTATTACAACCATATAGAATCATTACACTGAACTTAAAAGTATTAACTCAAATTTATACATTTTATAACAATAAAAATAAAAATATTCAAAATAAACTTGATTAAACATTCCTACTCATTTTATATTTATGCACCCTGTCTATATTTTGTTGTTCCATTTTGAGTGCCTGACATTTTAAACCAATAATTCCTGACAAACCTTATTTCATGTATTAGTTAGTAGCATTTGTACTTAATAATTAAGGGGCCGTTTACCAAACACTTACCAGGTAAGCGCTTACCAAGTAACATTATCTCACTGGATGAATATAGTAAGTACTAAGAATCTTACCCGATGAGAGCGAGACAAGGACCAAGAGTCTTACCCAGTAAGTGAGAGCGACGACCTTTACCACGGTAAGTGCTTACCGGGTAAATTGTTGCATACGATGTCGTTTTGGTGGACTAAAATCTTACTCGGTAAGTAAATAATAATGTTAAATTTTATCGGTAAGTGCTTGGTAAACAGTCCCTAATACATGTTATATTTTGAAATTCAACAATTTTTAAGAGTTTATTCCCCTTTATTAAATCACATATAATTCTGGAGCAAAATCATATGATACGATATGTTAAGGAGGAGCGGTGTGACTGGTCAATGCAGCCAAGGGTTGCATGAAAAGTGGAGAGTGCAAGAATAGTTAGTCAACGCGATGTGTGTTTTATCACATGTGATTTTATTCTAGAATCACATACGCTTCGCACCCCCTCTCTATATATAGTATTTATCTATCTATCTATCTATCTCTCTCTCTCTCTCTCTCTCTATATATATATATATATATTCAACAAAAAGAGCTAAGAAAAGGAACATCTAAGCACATCTAAATTACCCATCTAATTTGTTCAAAATGTGTGAATAACTAAACGGTTACGTGTGAACATATATTTTAACTTATAGTTAAATATGACTTCTAACTTAAAAACCAGATAAAAATAACCAAATATCTACTGGGGTTGGATTCGGTGATAAAAAGATCTTTATCCTTGAATCAATCTTAAATAGAATGTAAATACTAATAAGGTGTAACGAGATGCACCTGATCAATTTCCTTCTAAAACGTAATTCATGGATGAACATGAGATTAAAAGTGATAAAGAATTCAGATCATTTTCTACGTTTCTCATGATAACTACTCTTCTCACATGATCATATTATGTACCGTGCATAATAGAAAGAGACGATTGATGAATGTTGATCGCCCATCAATCAAATGGAGCCAAGCCAAGTTCTGATGATGTATTAACAATCTGATTCCACAATAATATGAGTATGGCTAATTAAAAAAACTAATATAATTTCTGATGAAGGATTGAGATCTAGTATGCATAATAGAAAATTTACATAATGAAGACTTAAATCCTTTGATCACTACTCAGTTTCAAAGCACAGTACGTATTTGAAAACAAAAAGGAAGAAAAACCACTAAATTAATTACCTACACAACCAAAACATAAATTGCGTATATAATACCCGGAAGATAACCCAATATCGTCAGCAATAAACATATCCAGAATTCGATCTGCATTTTCAATGCACACAATCAGTTTTACCTTCATTCATCGTTCATTTTCTATATATTTTGTATAAAAATTGAAATCAGAAATACTCGAATATATCTGATCATGATCATGGTAACAAATTGAACCAATCCACCAAAACAACGAGTTTTCGGTGAATCTGACTCGCGAAAAGGTTGATCATAATGATCAATTGAAAGTGAAGAGAAATTAAGATTACTTACACCACAACCATATCGAAGAAAAACGCCGATAGGAGGCAAGATGATTGCGAGTATAATCTCCACAAATGTTTCAGCGCCCATTTCCTTCTTTCCTGATTGATGCTGTTTTTCTATTTTTGAAATTTGCCGATAGAGAGAGAAAGAGATTGTTGGTTTTTGAGTTGGATCCAACCGAATTGAGACATCAAACAAGTGTGTGTTCCAAACGAAAACAAAGCTTCTCAACACCTGTCCGATTTTCATGTTATCAGCTTGCCACGTCGATATCATCACATTTACACGTGGACTTATTTTGTCACAAATTATTTTATTTAAGAACAAAATCAGCATTTTTATCAAAATTTAACCTTAAAATAAATTAAAAAAATTGTGAAATTTAGATGGATATTAACTTTTTTTTTTTTTAATTAACCTGGATATCCAATTCATTATGTGAGTCGACTAATATTAGGACGACCACCTGCTTTACAGATAGCCCGGAGTCATCGCATTTCAACATCTGTGGCCAATAATATTTTAACAAGTTTCAAGATCTTTCACTTTTTTTTCTAATCGTATTGTTTATATTTTACATATTATCATACTATTAGGTGTTATAATTTGTCTTTAATTATTTATTTCTCTTATTAATTAATATTTAATTGTTGACTTGGAACTGTTTACATTAAGTACTTAGTACTTTAAGATCATATAAGTAAATATCTCATAATTACTATTAGTTAATATTAATTACTTGGAATTATTATTAGTTATATTAAATATTAATAATCATTTTTAAATTGTTGTCGTAATATCATTACCGTTATTTAATAGATTTAAAATACAATAACTACAAATTATACAAAAATTAGAGTTATCAACAGGTTAATCAAACCCTTAAATGAACAAAATGTTTGATCCAAATCTTTTAAGATGATTTTAAAATTTTGTTCTCCAAAATAAAAATTGATTCTAATTTTCTCTTTCATTAATAATAAACTTTGATATATAATTACAATAGTGTATCAACTAGTGAGTCGATAAAACAATTATTATCAAACATGACTGTTTTATCGACTAACTTTTTGGTTAATAATTAATTTCTCAACCAATATATGATTTTTTAACCAACTATTAGTTTATCAAAAATAACTTTAATTTTCATACAATAATTGGTTGACAAGTTTAAAGGTATACCAACATTTTGAAGTCTTTTAAGCCAATCATGGAACCAATGGCACAACCAATTGTTGGACACCTCTTTAGATCCCAAACATTAACATCAAAAATGATTCGTTGAGCCTTCATAGACAAACTTAACCATCATCCCAACATACCTCTACCACGTGCATTTCACTACCAAACTTTTACTTACATCATCAAGATTTCCCTTTTTTCTAACATCGTTTGTCTGTCATTCAAAACCGAACAATTAACCTCAACTTTTACAAGCACATTTAGTTATTCAACCATGAATACCAAACCATTACATCATCATGTGGTCCTTTCCTTTTTAAAGCAGTATTACACTTCAATTGGTAAATTATTGCATTATTCTTCTGTATGTAATTTCCCAACATTCAAACTCAGTTTAATAAGTGGTTGTTAGATCTTATGATCGTTAATACAGTAAACGAAGGGAGTTCAAGAAAACATATGGTTTTTAGATCATCTATTGTTGATCTTTTCAATATTTATATCGATACAAATTGCATTTTCTTTAAACATGATGAATAAGACGTGTCGTAAAGAGTTAGACAAACATATAAAAAAAGATAAAAACAAAAATTAATTGGGTTCTCATTACAATTAAAAATATGTTGCATCCCAAGTTGAGATACACGTTAGATGCCTAGAGGATGAGAATAAAATTAAAAATTAAAAATTAATAATAAAAATAAAAATAAATAGAAAAAATGATGTAAAATAAAAGAAGGAAAGAAAAGAAGAGGTGATTACAGATCAAATAAAAATAACGTTGGTCTGAAAAGCCACTCTATCATCCTCCTTTTTTGTTATTTGCCACTTTTTAGCCACCTTTCTTAAAGCCTCCAACTCTACCTATTCAACAGCCAAACAAACTGAACTTGTATCATTAGTTTCCACTTTATTTCAACCACCATTTTTAACCAAATGACTGATAGTGACTTAATGATATAAACCATAACTTATTCATTAAGCTTTCAGAGGGAAGTTTATTCCTTCCCTCCTTCTCAATTAAACAAAAACATTCACAATTCATACAGATAAATTAATCTATATAAATAGCTTTATTCATACAAGACTTAATAAAAACGAATCGTCCATGTGTGTATTGGTGATGGATAAAAAAGATCCAAGTTGACCCATGTGTATATATGTTGGTGATGGGTAAAAAGGATTCATAAGTATTCTCATCTCTCAACCCATGTGATTCTGCAACAACCCAACTGGCAAACAACATTTTTGACAGCATATTTACATGTGAGATCAATTTAATACAATTCATCTTCTTTATTTTACACAAAATTTTAACATTTAATGTATGAATATAATTGTATTGTACGCTATTATAAACACATATGGTATTCACAAAAAAGAATAATAATTGTCTCAATTAATATAAATTTATTATTTATTATTTATTATTTATATTATAAATATCTAGCAGATGTATAATTTTTCAAGTTGATATAATTTAATCTGACAGCAGATTTAAAATCTAAAAATAATATTTATAACAACTTCAAGATTTGAACAGAAGAATGAGATTAAATATATACCTGCAGAAGTAGGAGTAATTTGTGTGGGCTTTGAGAGAAGAGCAGGAACAGCAGCAATTGGGCCGGCGGATGTTGGGCCACAAAAGAACTGGGCTGGTAGGCCCATTGCCTGAGATTGATGATGGTATTGATACATAGGGTACATTGGCATCAGTGTGTGCGCACCCACCGTAGCATGACTCGGATATACATGTGAGTAGTGCCCTCCATTCATGTAGGCCCCGCCCGTATACCCTAGTTTCTGTTCCATATTCCATTTTTTAAACTATTTCAGCAAAAATTATTTACCATAAATGAATTATAGAATTTATTGATTATATTTTTTTTATTATAATTAATGGTTAAAAGGAGTAATGCTTTTTTACCTTTTAAATTTGATAAATATAATATATAAAAATTTATTTGTTGATTTAGACAAAAGTTATGAAGATTGTATTACCAATTTTTAATTTTATATAAATAATATATACAAAAAAATAGATTTTAATTTTGAAAAATATAGTTGTGCATTTTCATGGGGATAAATGCAGGTGAGTTTCAGCTGATCTGGTTCCACTTACATGATTGTAACTGACATCAGTTGTAGCGACGTATGTCGCCGGAACATAGCCGTAATAAGGAACGGCGGCCTGGTGATGGTGGTAAGGTGACGCCGGTGGAGGAGTTGGTGGATAGTACCACTGCACGTGGCCCGGAGGTGGTGTGATCGTCCCGGCAGATCGTGGACCCACAATCACATTAGGCCCTACAATGATCAAATCCAAAAGGATCCAGTGTTCGAATTAGACCAAACACACGCAAAAACATATTTGTACCGAATAATTTACAACCGTAACGTGGAATCTAGCTTCCAATGTAATCAACCCTACTCATTTGATTGGAAAATAGAGGCAAAACATACCGGTTTGCTGCTGCTGCGGCGGCGGCGGAACAACGGTTAGCGATCTCTGCCGACGTGCGCCGAGGGAAGCGAGGTTACAGTTTGCACGGCGGCCATTAATCACCGGCGTCGGATCCTCGCAGGCCTTCTTAGCCGCTTCCGGCTCCTTAAATGTCACCTGATGCGCACAATAGCACAAACAGAAGAAAACAAAATTAGTTCAAAAGGAATCATGAGGGTGCGATAAGGGTGCATGATAAGAGTAGATACATACGAAGCCGTAGCCTTTGGATCGGCCTGTTGTTTTGTCGGAGATAATGACGGCTTCGAGAATGTCGCCGTATTTCTCGAAGTGATCTCTCATGGCCTCCTTGGGAGTCTCCCATGCCAATCCTCCGACGAAGACCTTGGTCAAAGTAGTGTCGCCAAAAGGCCCTACTACTCCTCCGGCATTGTTATTGTTGATGATCATTGTCATTGGATATCTACAACGGCAATGATTACCGCTACAATACAAAGAGGCGATCGATCGCTGATGTAATGAATCGGAATTTGGAAATGAGCGATGAAGAAGGAATTAGGGAAGGGATCAGAAGAGTGAATCGAAAGTTTTATAGGAAGGCAATTGAGTGTGTGTGTGTGTGTATGTGTGTGAGAGAGAGAGAGAGAGATGACAGCTAGACCAAGATGGCGTTAGCGTTGAGAGAGAAGAAAACTCATTTTACAATTTGTTTTTTATCTTGCTTTTCCTTAATTATATTTTAATCCGATGACAATTAACTTTTTGAAATATATAATAATAATATTTTATACTTGAAATTATATGAAACCAAATTATTTTCATGATATTATATAAATAATATTAAACTTTTATAGAAAAAATTGTAAAAATAAAAACCTTTACCGTGTTTTTACCGTAAAAGTTTGATGTTTTAATACATTTACAGTGTTTTTGTTGTAAAATTTCAATGTTATTTTGTGGTATTAAGAACACCCACAATAAAGGTTACTGTTAATATTTCTCTCGGGTTTTTAGAATAACCTTCATTGTGAGACAAATTTTTTTGTCTAATCATAAATTTTTATTAACATATTTAGTTAATTATCTACCCTGTTTTGACTTGATTGAACATATTTAGTCCAATCAAAATTACGAGTGATTTATATTATTATTTAGTGTTACTTTTTATAAGGATTAACCTTTGTGTAATTTTACATTCGTTTAGTTTTAGTAAAAAAAATGTGTGTGTTTTAGTTGTTTTTCAAACATATTAACAAAATATATAAATTAACAAATTAAGATTAACATAGAAAAGTGAAAATTAATAAATTGTAT